ACATATGGAAAGATCTAAGGTTGTGGTAAATATCATCTTTGTTTTACTTCCTTTTTTCTTTGAAAATGTACCCCCAGTTCAAATAAAAAAATAAACACATTTCAAAACTACTGAAGCCATAAAATTAAATAGATTTGCAGGATTTCCAAGAGTACAAAGGATTTGTTTTTAGGGTGGGGTTTAAAATAAAGAGTTACATGTTAGTTTCTTCAAAAAATATAATCAAAACACGGTACATACATGTGCATAGCCAACACAGCCAAAAATTGTGGAAATTTAATATCAAATTAAATCATCAAGAAGCAGATTCTCATCTAGTGGCAAAAGAGATAATTAAGATACAGATCCCCTTTTTTCTGGAATTTTTAACCAGCGTCCTGGGGCTTATGAATGAAGGTTAAGATTTTGTTGTCGTGAAATTTAAAATCAAAAAAACCCAGATAATTTTATTAGAGAAACTTGCAAAATATTTGATTAGATCAAAGACGAAAATAAAAAAAAAAAAAAAACTCGCTGCATTTTGTGATCAATTGAAGTAAGGTACACAACATTTATTTAACAAAATAGAAGAAAAATCAGATACACATGTTTTTGATTTTGTTCCTTCTAAGTTTACAGTTAATCTTCCCAGTAAATCTAAGGAATGTTAAGTAGTCTCGAGTGTATTTTGTCTCAAGATTTGTACATGTACAAATTACTATTACTACTTCTTGTGTTTTGCCATTGATTCTACGCACATAATAGAGCTACTCTTACTTGTATTTTGACGGCTCATATCGGTCATCGTAGTATTGAGACTGACAGACGTTATGTTCAAAATATGAGGAGAAATAAAATTCATTTTTTTCTTTTATTTGAGACATAATGTGCATTTAAATACTTTTGTATGTAAATTCTAACCTTCCTAAACAGTAGTAAATAAAAATATTCTGTATATAAGGTATCATCGCCGTATATTAGTCTTTTATTTTGACATGGTTGAAAATGTCCTCCTCACATGCGTGATTCTAGTGGAATTATAAAATTTCATTTCAAGAAAAATAAGTACGTTGATGAAAAAATCTCTATATTATCTTTTCTATATATTTGCAATATAGTTTTCAATATAAAATTTTTTTTATTTCAGTTTTTTTCAATAATTTATGAAATATTTCTCTTGTAAAAGTCATAGGTCAAGTTGTACACAAGAGCGAATTTTTAGCCACCTAGAAGTTAGCTAAAATAATCATCATAAAAAATAAAATGACACATAAAGTTTTAATATTTTGCATTAGAATTTTAAAATCGGCAATTTATGCAATACGTCAACAGACATTTGTAAATAAAAATAAATCCGTTATTTTACTCAGAATCGCCTTGGCACGGAAGTACATGTATGGTTGTTCCAACCGGGTAGATGTAATTAATTATTTATAAGTAGTAGTTTTATCTGCTACAGTCCACATTATTTTATTAGTTAAAAGAATAAGCATATTTACTATATATGTACGTGTAGTTTTATTTTATATTTATACTACAAGCGTTCGGTAACAAATACTCATGTTTTACGGCAATTAAAAACATGTTATTAAAATATCGACTTAAAACATATGTATGTGCAGAAAAAAAAGTTTTTATTATTTATTTATCTATTGTTTAAAAATACTTTGCACCTGAAATTAGAATTGTTGAATCATAGAATAATTTCAACGCAAGGAAAAGATCGGAGGCATTCCTAAGAAATTGTTAATCTTGCGTTCACCGTTCAGTTTGCGCTCCGTTCGGTTTGCGTTCACTCACCGTTCACACATCGTTCACCAAGTTGCGTTCAGCGTTCGCACATCGTTCATTAACCGTTCCCTCTCTTCTTCACCGTTCTTTCACCCTTCAGGTTGGAAAGTAGAACGTTTTAGGGACTATAGAACTGTAAAAGGTTTCATTGTTCTAAAGCATTTTGAAATTTGGAAATAATGTAATTGGATATTTCCAGATATTAACTTGTAAAGTGATGAAACATCGCACAATTTAATTGAACTCTTATCCAATAAATCTCTTGTTTAGCCACAGTGGTTTTTATGTCCTATTTCTGGAGTTGTTTATGTAGAAATGAAGAACATAATAACATGTATGTTTATTGATGCTCCATAATTTGTATATTATGTACGTAGTTTTAAAAATTCTTGGTATCCAAAAAAAGGTCTGTTCACAAAACTTATATATCTGAAGTATGAAATCTCTTGCCCTTAACAATCAAAAGTTATGGCCAAGGTTTAGGTTAAAGTTTTTTTTCATAAGTATGGAAATCTTTAAGGTCATGGTCAAAAGATCAAAGTTGTTGGTACTCTATAAAAGGTCTTGCCACAACAAATACATTAGGGAAAAATAAAAGTCCTGGTATCAACTGTTCAAAAGATATGACCGAAGTAAAAAGTTGGGATATTTTTTGTAAAATTGAGTCAAAACTCCAATATCAAGGGCAAAAGATCAGATTTGGTGTTCCCAAAGAAAGGTCTTGTCACAAGAAAATCAGATGTGAAATATGTAAGGCATAGTTTACTGAATCAAAAGTCGGACGGAAACGACAAAAAACTATATACCCATGAAACTTTGTTTACGGAGGCATAAAAATCACGTCTTCATATCATGGGTATGTTCAAGGCACATGGACAGTTGCAACAAAACATTTACATTCTCTCCCCATTTTTACAAATATATATATTCTAATGATCATCAAAAATTAGAGATACAAGACAGATTTAGAGCTCTAAACCTTTGTTATGTTCTGATTTTTTTTTAACAGATTTCCATCAAATATTTCTCATTTTATTTGCAATTGCCTCATAACAAATTTATACACCTGTATATTGCATGAACTTAAATCAGATCTAGATGTTTCGTATGTATATAAATTTCAGATATGAAAGCTTCCTTTTAAAATGTATGTTGAGGAGGAGAATTTCGTAGCGCGTAAATGTACAGGTGGGACATTACCATGTATGTAATAGATACTGTGGTTTCAAGTTTTCGTTGGCATCAATTTTCGTAGATTTTGTAAAACAGACGTTTTCAAGGATATGTAAGTTCATGGGCAAAAGCATTGCCTAGACTAAAGAATAACATATATCTTAATTCAATGAATATTAAAATTTGGTGGATCTGCTGAACATCGAAATCTTCGAAAATTGGTGCTCAACGAATATTGATGAAACCACAGCATATGCCGAGTACTTTCCATATGTAAAATTATTAGACTGTTTGAGGCGTATTTCATCAGTATTATACCTTGTTTTTTTTTAAAGTTTCGTTTGGTTTTAAATATGTTAAAATGTGGGGTTCTGAAAACTATTGTTTTGGTAGAGAAAAAGTTTTAGATTTTTTTTGTTTTTTCCCGTGTTCTAAAAAATGAAAGTTTCAAAAAAGTAATAATTATTGTATATTTTTGGGAACCTAAAATTCATCATTAAAAATATGATTTGTGTATTGTGTATGTTTAAATTGTGAGAAGAGTCCATTTTGATACTTTAAAGGAAAGAAAAAATTCTTTTTTACCTCTTTCCGGATGAAAATGAAAATCCTGAAATTATATTCTATTTCTACGGCTTTTACACCAACAATCATCTTCTAAATCATAATTAGGCTACTGCGTAAAATTATGAGGAAAATATAAGAATTTTATGAGGAAAACGAATTCCATTCCCCCATCCTAGATTCCCCCCGTTAAAAGGTTAAAAATCCTAAAATTTTTAATCATTCACTTTGTAGAAAACTAGATCGGTATCAATTATAAATAACTTGTTTAATAGATATCATACTCTTTATTTAAATTACTGAAATTTTAAGTTATATTGCAGAATGAGATCTTTAGGTAACAATTCTTTATATTTATTAACCAAGTGTAAATCGCCAGCTTACACATGGACTGTTCATGACCAAGAAATACACGCTTGTCAATCATCAGTATCACAAAAAATTTTGAATGTTTAAGACAAAATTTATGTTGAAGAAAAGTATACCTACAGTTTCTGTTGAAAATGAATTAGGTATACTTTTATACTGACACGCACAAGAAACGCAACAAGCAGTAATCTACAAATGTTTGAATTTTTTATCGAATGATTTTTAAAAAGAATACAATAAGGCTAAACTTACTTTTCAGAACATCAGAGATTTGATAAAATTGTCAAATGTTTATCTTTTAACTTTAGTAAGTAACATATGACCTTTAAAACACCCCTTCCCAGGCACTTAATTACAACGTGCAAGACTGTCCTAAAAAACAATTACAGCTTAATTTTTAGATACAATAGGTTAATCAATATCGAGATCTGAGCGAAGGAGTTATTTTTTGACTTTTTAAAAGCCTGTTTTTTAAAGATGATTAGGTCGAATTTTCTTAACTTAGTGCATTGTAGTAACCCTTGAACTTCCGGTCCAAGGACTATCATTTATGCATATATGATACACAAGACCCCGTTGAGGCGTAATGCAGTGTATTTTTGCATCATCAACTCTCCATCACCTTTACGTTGAGATTTTCCAGTTAGTGCAATGGAAATGCTTACTTAAGCCATTTTCGAGAAGCCTTAGCATCGTAACGGGAAACGAAAGGAGATTTTATTTTTTGAAATATTGCTGCTTTACTTAAGATGAACAGTATAAACCCTTAAAACTCCCATAATATTGCCAAATGTTTCGTTAAACATGCCATTTTTGATTTCTATTAAGCAGACTCAAACTTGACTTCCGGTTATGGTACGAAAATCGTTCAACCGTTAAATTAGCGATATTTACCAAAATTGAAGATATCCAAAATTTTAAAATACAAAATTCTTTACTTTACATAATTATTTCCCCCAAATTGGGGTGTTGCGTTTCTTTTGCGTGTCAGTATATATACATGTATAGAGGAAAAAAAAAGAATAATTACATTGCAGGTGTACTATATATACATGTATAGAGAAAAAAATAACTTTTAAGAACTGTTGCATTTCACAAGTATATTAAGATATGAATGAACTTACCTCCCTGAAGAAATCTCCTTGCCTCCGGTAACGTAAAATCACAAGCCAGTTTCCTTCCCGCAAATTTCATAGGAATGTCCACACATATTTTCCTTAAACAGGACATACAACAAAACGTAAAAACAATTTACCATTAAGTCAAATGCTGACTGAAGTTTTTCATACCAATTGTTAGTCCATTATTTGCACCCTGAATTAACGATGGATTTTCCGGTATTTCATGATAAAGACAAGGAGCACACGACGGGTGTAACCAGTTGGCAGAGGATGTTCATTCCTCCCTTGGCACCTGCTCCAACCTCTGTTGTTTTGGAGGCCCGTTTTTGCTCTTTCCCTATTTTGTATTGTGTTATGGAATTTTGATCTTGAATACTGTTCGTTATCCCCATGTTCATTACACTACTAATTTTGAACATAATTTTGCCAAGGATTTAATCTTTACTATAGATATTTTCAATAATCATAATAATCACTCATCCAGTAAATAAGAAAAAGCTGTTTACAAAGATGACTAGCTCTAGATTTAAGTAGAATACATGCGTGAGAACATAAGTCTGATATCCTGAAATCTTAAAAAAAAAAAACCACACAGTCCGTTTTTTTTTTTTTTTTTTTTGCATTTTTGGAAAGAGATGTATTTTATTTCTTATTTTTTTTTGTCATTGTTAAAGATATGTTAATTTATATTTTTTGCAGTTACAAAAATACTTTTTAAGGCAACATAATGTGGTCATGCAATTTCATAATTTACAAACAATGCTTAATTAAATCTTATTCTTGAGTTTAAAGTTATGATTTTGCATTGTGAAAAAGGCAGAATATCACACATGATGTCAGACTCAGTTCAGAAATAATGTGAATTTAAATATATGAGAATGTATAGGCACACGAACAAAAAACTAATTTCAGTCACTAAATTAAAAAAAAATTACAAATTTATTTTAAGAAATTCATAATGCTGACTTTATTAGCCTATGCTGATCATACTGTTTTAGAAAGAATTTACATGCTTGTTCCTTAATATACTCCTTTGAGAAACTTAGTCTCTTTGCTGTGACCCAAGCTTACCCGAAGTTTCGTGGTTTGAACAAAGTTAAATCTTCAATACAAGAGACAGAGGATGCTTGCATATAAATATGATATATTTAATATATGGATTTGTTTTTCTTGTGAAGAGGTTTATAAAAGTTTTTTTCTATGTAAGTAACAGACTACTCATTGTGGTCCAAATCTCCACCAAGAGGCCTGATTTTGAACAAATTAGCAAGAACCTTGACTATGTAAGACTTTACATGAATTTTTATTTTTGGGGTTGCCACCAAAATCTCATTTAATCTATGTTATCTCTTCTTGTAAGAGGGAGCGTCTAATACTTTATTTGTATAAAATGGACTTCCTACACTTGCGGATACCAAGTTTGCATGAATTTGGCTCAATAATGAGATAACTGATGATACATGTTTACATGTTAGTCCAAAATGTAAAATACTTACAAACGGAAAATTAGAAAGACGCCGGACAAAATATGATTAGAAAAAAATCTTACTTGATATTTCAGATCTGATGAGTCAAAAAAAAAGTATTTTGTGAACTGTAAACTAACTTATTTTATAATGGTTAAACTTAAAGTTAAATGTTTTCGGGGTGGAAAAAAGACCCAATAAGTTATGACTCAGATAAAACGAAAATTATTCATTATCATCACTACCAAAACTCTCTCTAACCCGAATTAAAATCTGGAGTACCCAATACTATTTCCATGCCTCAAAAATCTACTATCCCACAAAGAAAATTTTGATTTTAGTTTCACAGTTCGTGGAGGAAATTTTGCATAAAAATACACACCTTTGTAGCGTATAAGTCTGGACTGAATGAATGAAATGCAGGACAGCAATAACCAGAATAACCAGAAAAACTAAAAAAAAAAAACAAAACAAAACAAAAAAAAAAATATGAAGAAAACGATCTATTAGAAGAACATTTAGGTGTTAATCAATGTTCTAGCTGTAATTTTTAGAGAGAGAGAGAGAGAGAGAGAGAGAGAGAGAGAGAGAGAGACAGACTCACGCCATTTGAAAATATCCATGTTATAGGTAATCTTTTTTTAAATGAATGCTTCCTTGATAGAATGTTTCCTTATTTTAGTATACAACAATGTACATGTATCATAAATTAAGGCAAAAGCTTTTTTTAGTATACAACAATGTACATGTATCATAAATTAAAGCAAAAAGCTTTCAAGTCACAATTCATCTACTATATGTATGACAGAATAAAAGAAAACAACAGGAAGCGTTTTATTTTTATATTTTGACACTCTTGGAATTTTATACTGAATCTTGTTACTTCCTTATACCCTATCTCACTTATGATTATTTCTTCTTCCTTGTTCCTCTGCGTTTATCTATATATTCTATTTCCAAAATATTAATAAACTTTAAAACCGCTACTTGATTTATGAAATAAGTACGGAAGCCCATTTAGGACCTATCAAAAAATATTTTTGAATTCGTTATAACAATTTTTAGAATTCGTTACAATGAATTTAATTTGTTATAACAGATTTATTGAATTTGTTATAACAAATTTAATTTGTTATAACAGATTCATTAAATTCGTTATAACGAATTTTATTTGCTATTACAGGCTTATTGAATTCGTTATAACGAATTTAATTTGTTATAATAGATTTATTGAATTCGTTATAACGAATTTAATTTGTTGTAACAGCTTCAATGAATTCGTTATAACGAATTTAATCTGTTATTACAGATTTGTTGAATTCGTTATAACCAAATTCTTGAATTGGTTATAACTAATTCAACAAATCTGTAATAAAAAATTAAATTGTTATAACGAATTCAATGAATCTGTTATAACAAATTAAATTCGTCATAATGAATTCTAACAATATATTCTAACAAATTGAATTCGTTATAACGAATTCAATGAATCTGTTATTATAATAACAAATTAAATTTCGTTATAACGAATTCAATAAATCTGTTTTAACAAATTAAATTCGTTATAACGAATTCCAAAAAATCTGTTATAACAAATTAAATTCGTTATAACAAATTCTAAAAATCGTTATAACGAATTCAAAAATATTTTTAATAGGTCCTAAATGGGCTTCCGTAAATAAGCATTTATTCGTACCGTTAAAAATCTCATTTACATCTTCATACGTCAATATATGAATACGACGTCTGAATGTGAGAAAACTGGAGTGAAGAATTCATAAACTGTTTCATTGTTGTTCATATGATACAAACATTGTCGAATTGGTCAATGTGTTCAAGATTACTGATCTTAATTGTTAAATACAAAAAATATGATTGCTTTCATCTTGTTCATAAAAATTGCGTTTAAACAGTCAAAATGGTACATTATGGAGGACATCCAACTTTTCTTACAATCTATTTTAATATTTCTTTGTTCTATGATCGATACAATGACTTTGTCAGCAAACACAATTTTACATTAAGTCAAATGCTGACTGACGTTTTCCAACTATTTGTAAGGCCATTTTATCTATTTACGATTTGAATTGTCGATGAATATTTCCGTTGTTTCTCAGTTATGTCAAGGACTATACGGCGGTTATGACACCTGATAATGAGTCATGTTAATTTTGAATACTAACAATTATACATATGCAAATGTCTAACCACTACAGATTGGTAATGTTTATTCAAACAACTATTCTAGAACTGATGGAGTAACTGACCAGTAAATTCTGAAGACAACTATGAACATCCATCGCTTCTTACTTGAGTTGATAATGTGCACCTTCCAATATTTACTCATCGCTGTTCCAGTGTCTGGCAATTATTTAAGCAAAAAAAAAAAAAAAACGTTTTGGTTGTTGGTTCCGGCATGAATGTCGCATTGTTACAGAAAAAAAATCATTATGCGGGTTATGCTATTTTCTGCGACATTAATTCCCTTTCTAACAAACAAAATAAGAAAAGCATTATTCACATTTGATGACCGTCAAGCAAAAACCATCCTTAAGTCAAAAATTTGACATTTTGAGTTTTTTAGTGATTCTAATAGAAAATTTTCTTCTCTTTCAAATGATATATAACATGTCATTGTTCATAGACTAGAAATAAGTTAAAATTTTCAAAGAAAAATTACAAATTTTATGTCATGACGCTGTGTTTTATCGGAAAACATCATTAATTTACTTCTCACATTTCCATACTTGGGTTGTAAAAACTGCACAAGAAAAATCACCTCGGACTTCAAATGACATTTCATATGTGATTTTTATTTAAATATTTGTTCGTTTTCCTTTTTTTTTGATCGATAATTTTAGCATTATAAAAGAAACATCTGGTTTCTAACCCACCCACCCCCCCCCCCCCCTTAAAAAGGAGACACGTCGGATGTGGGGTTTTTTGTGGGGTGGGGTGATGGTTTATTGTGCCCTAAATGCCCTTCATGTGGCATATGCTTGGAAAATCTTAGTATTATCTTAGATTCATCCGATACTAGAGACTTTCATGTACAACCCACACCCCCCCCCCCCAAAAAAAAGAGAAAAAGAAATATCAGATTGATGTATTGTATGCTTCTTTTATTTCAGAGATTTAGTTCGCCATTTTAGGATCGAAAAAATTAAACAATATCAAGGTCAGGGTACCTGTACGTCAAGTTGACATATATATAAAAAAGTACATTGTACCGTTAATTTATATTATTTGTCGATTTAACTAAATGTGTAAGGCCACAGAAGGTGTTTTCTTTTTCTAATACATGTAAGATTTTGAATGTAGCTTTGTATGAATAAAAAAAAAATAGGTCTGCTAATAAGGGGCATTATGTACTCAGTAAATAGCGACATCATTTTCCAGAGAGTGACAGAGAGAGAGAGAGATAGAGAGAGAGAGAGAGAGAGAGAGAGAGCATTATTTCACATACGAGGGTGTGTGTGTGAGTTAGTTTGTTTGATTTTTAATCCTGTTTTTGTTTGGGAATTTATTTTTTTCGAACAGTTTTAGGATCACATTCTATTTCATCTTTCCCTCAATAACATCGCACAAATGATCCTTATAAAGCAACCACAACACTTTCCTACCGGAGATTAACAAGATTTGTTGAAGAGACACTGCATTAAAGATGCATATTATACCTATCGCTGAAGTATAATTTTTACCCATGCAGAAAAATTTTTGGTACTATACTTTACAGAAAACGGAATAGAACCCCCCCCCCCCACCTTCTCATCTGCTGCAAATGTGCACTTTTCGTTCCTGGTGATGGATAGTAAGCTTACATTTCTAGCAATCGATTTCTCTTTGTTTTTATATTTTACCTATTAAAGGAAGTCAAACATCCACCACCTTTTATCAAGCCGAGGTACAGGACTTGTGGATGGAGGAAAGTTTTTGATTGAAAACAAGTACCCATGCATAATAAAGAAATATCTGTTTTATGAAAAGAATCAATTATTGAGAAAAAAATTACAATGTGTTTTTCCTGCTTGATTGTAGACGATATTAAATTAAAACCTGGCCTACCATAGTCTCGTTCAAAAAGACACACGGCTGTCTCCGTAAATGTCCGACCAGCAGATGCTAGCTGATCGGAGATTTACGGAGACAGTCGAGTGTCTGGTTGAACGAGACTACAGCTGATCGGAGAATAACGGAGACAGCCGAGTGTCTGGTTGAACGGCACTAGACATTACCAGTGTATTTGTTTCTGTTTAGTCAAATATAGAATCACCAGGTCCAGAAGAGTTCGTAATTTTATACAGTGTGGCTGCGGCAATATATTGAAGATAGAAGGAAAAAAATAATTATCCGGATAAAGATTTCTGCACAGGATGAAGTTTTTTTTGTTAAAGTAGAATTTCACCAGGTAGACGATGACTGCAGTCATGAGGGAGGGGTACTGCTGCTTTCTCTTTTAAGTAGCAGTTTCGTGTACCCCTCCTCCTGGTGTGACATACATTTTTTTATTAATTTAAAAAGAAATCAGATCTGAAGCAATCTCAGAAGTTCTCTTTTAAAACATATCTGAATTCGCCTCTAGAATCTAAGAAGTGTTCCTATAAATACAGCATCGGACACAATGACTTAAATAAAGGATCCTCGCACATTAATTTTGAACATATATTATGCGGATCTCGAGTGACATGAGACGATTCGTGCAAAAATGGAAGCATTAAAACAATTCCTTAGAGACACACACACACAGAGAGAGAGAGAGAGAGAGAGAGAGAGAGAGAGAGAGAGAGAGAGAGAGAGAGAATTATGTACTGAGTACCATGCATGGCCAAATTTAGACTCCAAAACACAGTTAGTCTTTGGCCTAAATGTTACGATGTACATGTACGTGGTGTGTAATTGAAATCCCATAAGTATAGTCCAGTGCATAATACAGCTGTCGTAAATCTATTGAAAGAGCCGGGTTGCACAAATACCCTTGAATGGTGTGGATCTTACTGCATGTCGTCGCTGGATAAGTGAGACAAAATACTGGAATAAACTTCTTTTGCTGTGGTTGCAAGAACAGGAAAATAACCACAATTCAAAAAGTATGCGAACTTCAAGATGTTTTTCAATGTATAGTTGTGTAATTAAAGAACGTTCATGTTAATTAAATGACGCATTAAAAAAAAAGAGTTATAAGCCACATACAGACTATATATTACATCAGTTTCAAGTGTTTTTTTATATTAATCAATTTTATTTCTATGACCTATGACCAAAAAGTAGCTTATACCACCTTAAAACCATGTTTATTTTTTCCATAAAAGCTAGTGTCTAAATTTTTTTTCATGATGATTTCTCATCTTTTTTCCAAAACATGTAGGTCATGTTTGTCTTTGATTGACTGATCGGAGAATTCATAATGTTGCAATATTATAATGATTTCTTTCAGAGTATGAACATATTAAAAATTTTAAAAAATATGAATTTGTTTTAAACTCTTTTTTTATCAATTATTTTATAGAATGAATAATTCAACAGTTTCTACTTTTCCCTCTAAATATCGATAAACATGCAAGTAAAATACACACCGATACAAAAAATCTTTGGAGGAAGTGGTGAATACTAAGGCCTCCTGTTGCCAGGTAACAAAAAATGATTACATTGCAGGTTACTTCCCTTCAATAGCGGTACGCTATCATGCTAACATCCGCGTAG